AAAACCTGCCAGAAATCCCAAAAACTAAAATGCAACACATTTTGTAATATTCGAGAAATAATAAAACACTTTGTTTTTCACATTTTAAATTTATTAGAGCAAATTGTGTTCTAATAAATTGAAACATTAATATACAAAGTGTTTTTTTGTTTGTACCTGTATGGAAAAATTGATTCGTTAGTTACGTATAAGACATGGGCATGTCTAGAATGAAGAAACTTATCGGATGGGGAAGGATTAAAATTTTGAAATTTTAATTAGCTACTACGTGTTTAGCGTTCCTTTTTTTTGTTTTTTCCGCTTTCAGACAGATATTTCTTCCCAATTAATTTATTTAGTTGCGATTTCAGAACTGATTAAGTTCACTTATAAGCCAGCGTCCGTCAATTTTAATCTTAATTAATTATGCATATTAAGCTGTCGTTTTTTAATTTTTATTTCGATTATTATTTCGCGTTATTATGATAGAGTGTAGTGGTATAGTATGAGTAGGGTTCTTGACAAGTGCACACGTTGCATTTATGCACCAGTTACTTCCATGAGATGAGATCGGATGGTGCAGCTTCTGCCTGCCTGCCTGCCTGCGCTCTTCTTATCAATACTTTCGTAAACATATACACATTTATTATACGAAAACACTTATTACACATGTGTAACACGTTTTCCTTCCTTCTTTGATTATATCCATGTCTTATTCCATTTGTTTATGAAACTCGTGTTATACATTAAAATGATGGATGTAGGAAAAATTGCTGGTACCTAATTAAATTCTACAGGGCAGGAGCGGACTGTAACTTTTTCCAATCAACTTTCTGATATTCGTAGATATTCTTACCAAAAAACCCTTTAAAATTTTTCTTAAAGCTGTTTTCTAGATACATACATACCTCTGGTATACTTTTGAGTAAAATTGCTTTTTCTTTTAATTTTACTAATTAATTATTTCTAAACATTTTCCAAAAATAGTAATGTCGTGAAGATTCTGACAAAAACCGTCATACAAATGATGTATAGTTTTAGTAATTGTTTATTTGAAGTGCAACAAATTCCTAATAGTTTTGTAGTAGTTTGAGTCCGGTCCTGCCCTTGTCTGGTAATATTTAACATACTTGCTACCACTGTTCGTCATAATTATCTAAGTATGTAAATGTCTGCAATAGGCTGGAGTAACTTACTTCATCTCTTCTTGCATTTTACAAGAGTAAATACTTTTGTCGATGGTTCTTTGGCGTTGGGCGCCTATATTTGCTTCAAATAAAAAAAAAAACAACATTATATACGTATATTTCTGTTTAATCTTTTGTTTATATTCCTGTTTTACAATTTTTAATGCATTGGCGGTGTCGAGGCTTGGGTTTACACGTTTTTTACAATATGCATTAATGCTCGAAAAGTTTTTAGTGTTTGAATGTTTTTATTTTAAATTCAGCGGGAATGTTGTATTTCGATGTAAGCAACACAACGTACTTAAAAATAAATACAAGAACGGTGCTGCATATAGGCAACCCAACGTGCATATATTTTAAATTTGGCGGTGATTTTCCGACATTGTTTTCCAAGTAGCGTTTAGGCAACCCAACGTACCCGTTAACGAAACGAGACGCAAAAAGCTCTGCACAAATTTTATTTTGGTCGCTTTTTTGCTTTATTTATTTATTTTGTTCAGTATTAAATAATAAAAACTTTCAACAGTTCAAAGAAGTAGGTAACTTTTTAGAATTTATTTATTAAATTTTTGGTACTTAGTTAAGTAAAAAAACAAACATTAAACTTTAACATCAAAAACATTAAGTACTTAAAATCTAATTAATTTTTATCATCATTGTCATCACCTTCGATTATATCAGAAATCGTGTACGCTTTGCAAGGCTCAATTGTAGTACCATCGACGTAATTATAAGAGATGAAACATTCTTGGCACATAAGTGTATGTTCGTTAGGTAATCTATCATTTTCTATGCAAACAATTTGGGCGCTATTAATGCCACAAATGTTACATTTCTTCGAATATTTCCGGTTCGTCTTTATAACATACGGATAGTCGTGGGGACAAAGACAATCGTTTTTCATGAGCAAACGAGCGTCTGTGAAAACCACCAAGTGTTCACAGTTGCCTTGGTGCACATACACATATGGATAACCGAAACGGGGTTTTAAATCCTTCACGAATGTCTGAAAGCATTCACTTGGGGAGGATGCGGTTGGGAAATTGCAAAACTTGTTATCAATAATAGAAATCAAACGCACACTTTTTGAAAGGTGTTACAAAACTTTAATCAGAATTCTCTTATCAGCTCTGATAGTCCACTCAATTCTTTAATAACCATCTAACAAGCTGAAACGTCCTCAGACAATCCTGATTAAATCTTTGCAAAACCTTTCAAGAAGTATTTGTTTTATTTCTAGTATTGAGTTGTTAAATTTCCTTACGCTATCCATATCAGCTGTTTTTAGGCCTTTTATATCCTTTTCTTTTGCCCATTGTCTTATAACTTCTGAATAATCAATTGCTCCTATTGCTCTCAGGTCATTATAAAAAATATTGTCAATAAAGAGGAAGTTTGAGGGGTACAGGGCCTAAAAATTAACAAATACATGTAAAATGCATCCATGATGAAATTTAAGCAGTGATAGGGGATATTTACCAAAGGATTTTCTTCTTCCTTGTTTTCCTTTGCAATATCAATGTTACCTTCGATTTCTTTACATAGATTTATGTCCAGGTTACAAACTATCAGGTCTCTTATTTGGCTAAGTCTGTTAGCTCCAATGGCATGTATCAGTTGTTGCGGTTTTACTTTGTTTGAAAAGTTTTTAAGTTTATACTGAAATGCGAATGGTTTAAATATTTTTATAGTAACCAGATAATCAGAACCAGCTAGTAGGTTGTCTAAACTAGTTGGGTTCGGTTTCTAAAAAAAAAATTACACTGGCTGAACAGTCGTCAGTAAAATAAGACACTAATACTTACTAGTTTAACATTTTCATATTCCCTTCCACACATTTGTCGATAATAGGAATGATCTATGGTTTTCAGTGCTTCTTTTCTAACTTTCACAGCCTCACACCTCTTTGCTTCTGCAGTTATTGGGATGGGATTCTTTAATGTTATGAAAACTTGTTCAGAAAAGTCGTTTAGACTTTCAGGTTCAGGATCGTTAGCATTTGTTAAATTTTTTTCGCTGATTGGAAATGTAGTATGTATTATTTTTTCATTTAAACAAACATATTTGTTTTTTGCATTTCTTACACTTACCTACAGATATTTTGAATTTTTTTCTGTTCTCTTCTAGGTAAATTGAATCCTAAATAGTCAAATATTAACAATCTTTCCGAAAGACTTTTGTTAACATCGTCAACTTGTGTAAGCTCCTCGTCTAATTTCACATCAGATGCAAATGATTTAAAATGTTCTTCTAAATCAATTGGTTCACTGGATGGAAATTGAGAATAGGGGTAAATCTTTTCCATTTTCAAAATACTTTGTTTATTACATTTATTCGTTACCGTTTCTTCTTCTTTTTAAAAATTTAAGGTTATGTCAGGTTGGGAATACAGAGCAGAGGTTGGTAATGTAGATTGTATTTCGAAAAATCTGCATTACCGGCAAATAATATTTTAAACAGTTCGGGCGTTCTTCGGCAGATGGCGTTAGGTGTATCATTTTGCTTTATCTGTATACAGGTTAGGGAAAAGCACGACCGAACACAAAAATTGCACTTTTCTGTGTCGGAATTTATTCTTTTTAAGTTGTACGAACGAAAATGCAAAATGTACAACCCTAAACCAGCGTTATATTTTTCAAAACGTGATGTCTCCCTTTGATATTGTTTGTTCGGTTAAATACTCGCCACTACTATATGTGGTATAATTACAAACGTCCCCAATTTGCGGTTGCTTTTAGCTGTTAGCAAGCAGGAATTTTCGAACTAATAGATTTGCCTATTGTAGTTGTAGTTTAACAGATATATAAAGTATAAATATAATAATTTGTCTGGCATTAGAAATTTCAGGCATTTTTAGAGGTAGGTTTGGAAAGTAATAATAGTAATAGAGGAAGGGCTGTCAGGTGCCTTTAGGATAAGCTTGACTTCACCGCAAACCGATTATTTGAACTCCCTTTAACATTTCGTTTCATCGAAAAGTGCACTAGTTGCGACAGCTGATAAAACGGTTTATCCTACAAATCGAAAATTGCTGTCGGTAAATGGAAGAATGTTGACGTTCCGAAATACTTTTGTTTAGGCGAAATGAAATAAGAAACTTTATTGGATTCTTTCGCGTTTTCGCTAACGTATTATTGGTTTTCCATGAAATTTATTTACTTACATATGTGCCTATTCCTATGTTTACCTCAATCTTATTTTTTCTATCAATTGTTTGTCAATCGTCGATTGTATTTTGGTGTGGGTAGATAGGGAATACATTCTTTGTTATTCCCCATTTCATTTGTTTGAGACCCAGACAGAGACAGACCAATCTCGCAATTGCCATAGCGTTGAACTTCATCATGTATTATGGACCATTGAATAGGCGTCGTAATTAGGATACCCAAACAGTCGCTCCAACTGGTTATCATTACATGCTTCTGTTTGTTCCACTTACAATTTACAATTAAGGGTGAATTAACAGTATTTGTTTTACAATTAAAACGAAAATCTGTTTCCTCACGCTTTTCTTTCTTTTTCCGTACGAAGTAGGTGTTTAATGTGAAAATCGTGTCAGGAACGTCTTTACTGAGGGTTTTCGTGCAGCGTGCAGGTCCGGACGATAAATATTTTCTTGAAATTAACGGACGGCGAACGTGCTTCGGTTCAAGTGCCATTTGGCGCTCGAGGGAAAGTGCACCGGTGTGCATTCGTCCCAGATGTCCAAATGCAATTTCTGGACTCAGACGAAAGACATATCGACCAAAAATAATGTAAGGTATTGGACAGATGAAACGTTAAACGAGTTAGAAATGTAATAAAAAATGAAAAAAATAATAACGCGTTAAAATGTCACTAATGATAGGTCAGTCGGATAGAAATAATTAGGAAATAAGGATATTGGAAAGTTTAGAAGAACAAAAAGTCAATAAGGAAAAGGGGGACAGGACGATAAGACACCTGCTGCGTGGAGATGATGCATGTCCATCTGATAAAACCACCAGGAGTTTTATTTAGCCTTTAAGTTGTATAGTTTTCGTTTGAATATCTTAGGGTGTCATTTCTATCTAGAAAAAACACCCTGTATCTATGAAAACTTGAGTTGTTGTAATAACTACCTGCCGTACAATATTTTGGTCTTATTTTCGCGAAGTTATAAACGACAGACCTATTTACCTAGTGGTAATATAACTAAAGATAAATTACATTCTCCGTTGGCGGTGTAATTAAAAGAAATTTCTGGCGTGCGCTTTCTCGCGGAAATTTAAATATGTAAGTAAATTAGTGCATGTATATTCGCGACGCTGGCGTGGCGTCGCGACGGACGCGTCTTTCGGGGCTCGCGGTGGCGTGTGTCGTCGGTTGCTTTGCCTGCTTGCAAGTACCATGACAGTTTTACTTGTACCCCGGAAATTGCTCGGCTAATTGAAAACTGCCAGGGAGATACTAGAGATAGAAAAAAAAAAACAAGTAAAAAGGTCTGGCGGCTGGGCGTCGACGGGCGTCGTGGCGTCAGATGAGTAATTAGGCTCTGGAAGTAGTAATAACTAGTGCGAATAATAATTTAACTGAAACGTAATTTTCGAAAATTATACGTGTCTGTCCGAGTTGGGCCTGGAAAAGTAATTTAAAATAATTCACCATTGCGTCTCTCAGTTTGATTTGCATCGGGAGGGCAGCGAATGAAAAAAGTTGAATGTCATTTTATTATTATTAATAACAAATGAAGATATTTCTGTCGTTTATCGATTGTTATTTGTTTTAAAACGATAATTCGTCTAATTTAATCTGTTCGAACAAACACAGAGTCGATAATACTGGCTGAAGAAGAATTAATTAAAATAATTCCAGAACAAATAGACCGAATTAAATCCATTCATTATTATAAGATCCTGTCGGCGAATTTCTGTTTGTTCTGATCTCTAAAATAGAGCAACGACATTCTTGTAGAATTTTCCCCTTGCTTTTAGAATCCTCCCAATTTTAACTTTTACGGTTGTGGAATTGTAGAATTCCTTTCTCTCCAGCAGTCGACGGGTATTGAGTTAAGTGGAGCAGTCGAATAATTTTCTGATCCCCATTTATGGGAGACAACATCGTCAGCGAGTCCTTGAGTCTTTATGTTGTCCTGTTTCTTTCGGGAATCGTCGGGAATTTGGTCACAACGTATGTTCTTGTACGTACTTGGGGCGATTCAAATTTTATTAAGGACTGTTGCTGATAAGGAGATCTCATAATGTTGACGTTTTACTTCAATTTTCCGTAAGAAAAGCGCGGAAAATAATATTCACTACATATTTTCATCAATAGAAGTATCATGCGTACAAAAAAATCCCGAACGATAAACATATATTCAAATTTTTTATAAAAAACATAAACTAAAAAAATAATAATAATGAAAAGTAGGGCACAGGTGGTCATTTTCGATAATACTGCACTGTGAGTGATATTAATGAAGGATAATTTGCCTGGTCGCTTTCAAAATGTGTTTATCCTGTTCTCTATCTCATATTTCGAACGCACTAAAATATATGAGTGAAAATGATGAGTATCGTTGGCACAGGGACCAAAGAAAAATACTGTTGGGGGAAATTTGTGAACGACGGTGACATTCGGTTAATGTCCGGGCGTAAAGACTAGCGATTTTTCGTTGTTTGTATTGTCCTATTTGTTTATTTCCTGCACTGTATTGTTTCTATCTTTCACCTCGAGAAGAAGTAAATTTAAAAGCGTCTAGGTAACTCAATATTTAATACTTAACAGAAAAGCAATAGTACGTAATGTATTATTAAATTTACAATTAGATAGATTAAGATTTCTTTACAGAAACTACAGTGTGACGAAATAATTATTGGAAAAGTTTTGTAGCAAATATATACTATTAAATTTTTCTGTTACGTCATTAAATATCGATCTATAAAATGTTTATTTTTTTTTTCGTGGGAACTTGGCTCATTCCCTTTAAACGAGTAGATGAAAATTATGTAGTTATTTCCACTTTTTAAAACAGACATCTTTGCGTTGTCTTCGGGCTAGTTAGCTAACTTTTTCGCGTAAATTTGTCATGTGACATATAAGGGGCCCTCAGGAAACTTCCTTATTACGTACTACGATATATTGTTGGCGATATTTTAAATGAAATGGTTACGGGGCACAGTTAATAACCGTACAACCGTGACATAAAGGGATATTTGTAGCTGTGCTAGTACCTGGTTGGATAGTTTTGTTATTTTTGACCACCCCTGTTCGTCTGTTTGTCTGTCTGTTGGTGTATTTCGGTATTGTTAGCGAATCTAGGACATTAACACGATTCGACATTGAAATTGAGCACGATCAGTTGAATATCAATAATTGCGTTTTAATTAGATCCATCGGTCATCTGCCTTGCGGAAATGAAATACAACACCGTGGTAAATAATTGTAATAATTACTGCGTCGGCAAAGCGGCAGGTCGCATCCGGAATAAATGAACGTCGTTAATTATCCTGCGGGACCATGTCCCGTGACGCGTCCCCGACGTTGATTCGATAAATATAGGGACGAGAAAAAAAAATTGACTACCCCAATTTATTAACCCTTCTTTTGTCCACTTTCGTCAAAATCTTAATTGAAAATACATGTCGGAAAATCAGGAACATCAAAACTTACATCCGATTAAACAATTGCGTTAAATGGTTCATTTGTTATTAATTGTTAGAGAATACAAATGGCAAAAAACAAATGTATGTAAAGTCTACCTTTATTTGTTATCTAATTAATTTATTATTAGTACTTGTTGAGTGACAGAGAGATAGGATGGGGGTATGAGGGCGATGAGATACTTAATTATAGGGCAAACGAGACTAGATCGATATGTGGGCAGTGAGTAATAGTAAAAGGGGTAGTCATGGTGTGGATTACAGCGAAGAATTAACTGAAACTGCACGATGATGATTATTCTAGTAATCCACCACGGCTGGCTGAGATTACAAACCGTAATGTCGAGAAATTGAAAACGCAGCAGGCTGCTATGCTATTATATATATATATATATATGTACAGTGGCACTTCATTCAGCGATAGGTACTTGTAAAAAAAAAAGAGAATTTTAATTGGGATTCTTTATACGTACCTACCTATCTGCCTGTNAACGACCAAATTTTCAAAAGGCAAGCTTTGATTTTCCATTACTTTCTGACCAACCCTCGTATAAGGCTCAAAACCGAAAATTTTCATAAATTTCAAGATTTGTATTAGGAGAGCATAAGTTACATCGGGTCTTTTAAATTTTCCATTACTTTTCGACTAACCCTCGTAGTAAGTAAAAGACTTTAACGATCGCAGCGCCACCTTGTGCCAAATAGCCGAACTACTATAGTTCGTCGGTCTGCCGCTAGAGGTCCCCTGGTGGCGAATAGCCGAACTAT